ACCTCAGACTTGCTTGACGGGCTTTGGGTTACAACAGACTGAACAATTTTCTGTTTGTCAAGACTCCTCTGTTAATCAGACTAAAGGTAGCATGCTCTTATTGTGAAGTACTGCTAAGTTGTTGCAAGTGCAAAGTTGAAACAGTCTTTTTGTGGCTGAGCCTCTTGTAGTGAGTGAGGTGTGAATCATGTCATATCACCAAACCTTTGACCTTATGAAGCTATGATGTTGTTCAGCACATTGTAGCTGTATTTTCTAACTTTGTTGCTCACAAGCAGGAAGCTAAAAAGCACTTTGTTTTGTGTTTTTATATGTGTAAGTTAGATGGTTATAAACATGTTACAGCTTGGATTGAATGTTAGGTAAATGAGTGGAATAACCTTTTTTGATGACCTCTCTGAACTTGATGAATGGTGATTGTAAATCCTTGTAATTACTAAAGCAGAACAATTACAAAAGTTGATACAAATTGTATTTTTAAAATCCTATTTCACCCAGTTTTTAAAAAGGTTAGTTCACTTAAATTACACAACAAAAGTAGTTGTACTTGAGCTTTGTGATACTGAATATATTATTGTAAGTCAAGAACTGTGACTGTAATGCTCCACCAATTCAGTTCTTCAAACCTGACAGATCAGCAGCAGTAAAGTGATGAATAGCACTCATACATGCATCACTTCATGGTTTGCTTTTACAGGAACTGCACCGCTTGGCTTACTCATTAACCAACATGTTTAAAAAAAAAAAAAAAAAGACACTTAGTTTCAATATAAATTGAAAGGTTAAAAAATCCCTGCTGGGGCAGAACCAAAACTGTTGTGACAATTCAGAAAGGGCTGATTGAAAGACCTTCTCACAACTTTTTGGAACCCAAACAGGGGGTCTGCCACACCAGTCTCCCTTGAGAAGTGTTATTGATCATATTCAAATACTTGCAGTCCCTGCAGTGAGGGTTACTTAAAAAGCCCTGGGCGATGTGAGGATTAAAAAACACCTCTTGTTACAGAACCTGTGACAAAAATACCTACCTCTGTGCTGCTTACAAAAAAGTGGAAATGAATATGGTAGTTGACTGGAATCCCATATTAAAGGATGTGATAATGTTTCTGGGTGAAAGAAATCATGAAACAAACATCAACGAGTGTGTCACACCTTAGCATGTACTGTACACTGACATTTTAAAGAAGAAATAAGACAGACACACACGGAAATAAGATATAAAGTAAAACTTTATCATGACATACAAGTTTAAAGCCCTGAGAACCATATCTTTATATTACTAATATGAACAAAACTGAATGTGTGAAAACCACTTTGGAAAAGTGCTCCTCTTAAATACAATCAGCACAAACCAGTTTTTACAAGCATTCATGTGTTTTGTCCTATTTTTGTTTACTTTAATCAAAGAGAAAACTATAATATCAGTAATATCATTATTATCATGTCCATAATAATAACAACAGTACAAAAATATGCACAAACCCCACAGTTGAATTAATATACGGAGCATTGTACAAGCCAAAAACAACAACATAAAATTGATAAATGAGGTATTCGATAACCACTTGCATATGCGCCTGTTTTTACACAGATCAGGTTAGTTTTTAAACAATTTAAAACTGAATTAACTCCAAAATCATCTGAGAGACAAAAGGTTCTGCAGACTTCCAACTTCACAGCTTCCTGAGTGACGAGACCTTGCCTGCAGTTACTGACAACACAAAAAAAAAAATAAGAAGAAAAAAAAAATGCAACACCAAAACCAAAGTAGCATTCAGCGACTGCAGCTTCCGTCAGTACTCGTCCCCCAATGCAGCTTCAACATCCAACGCAACAGTGAATACAGCCCACTGCCCTGAGGTATTGTGGTATGACGAGGTTTAGGGTTGGGGGGTGAGGGTACAGGTACAGGGTAGGGTTGGGGGGGTGTGTCTCTACTAGACACAGACACACACGCTCACAGGCATAACACATCATATATACTCATCCACACAGCAAGTCAGGTGGCAGGAGGCCGGAGGTCAGGGACATAGAGATCAGAGAGAAGTGAACAACTAACCCTCAACACCTTCCACTCCATAAACAACAAAACACAAAGTGCCCTTCAACAGGAGAAGATCACTGTGGCTGTACTGTAAAGGAGGCTAATGCTGGACAGAACTGCCCCCATTGATGTAAAACATGTCATCAAAACTTCAAACACTTCCTCCCCATTGATGTAATAATCCTGACAGTGGCGCTCCCTGCAGTCGCAACTGCAACCACATAAAGTTTGGACTGAACCTTCTTGCACACACACAAAACACACACAACCACACACAAACATACAAAGGCAGTGAAGCTACATTATCAAATAGTAGACTGAGCAGATGAAACAGAAAGCTTGGACTTAGAAATAAGAAAGTGTTTTAGTAACAAAGCCTAAAATCGTTAAGCTTCATCATTACTAAAAACAAGGTCCACCAGGAAAAAATAAAATCAACACAAATAAATAGCAAAACTCTCCTTTGACAACTGGTGTCTAACGTCTAACTGAATTGTTTCCCCTTGAAAAAGAAAAAAAAAAAAAAAAAAAAAAAGTGATTACTCTCCAATGGATTAAGCTCGAAGAGAAAGACATTTTCCCAACCAGTGGAGGAGTGAAACCTCCACTGGCCGGATCTCACCAGCAACTACTTTTAAGGCAGCTTCTACAATTTTCACCTTTATAAAATACAGTTATGTGTCATACAGGGTTTTGAAGGGTACACCACAAGGACATAAAGCTCCACCCTCAAAACCCCTCAAACCCTCAACTGTGATCTGCACTGCAAAACCTGACACGTAATGGCTAAAATACAGTCTAATAAAAAGCAACAAGGCTGCCCACCTCAGATCACACTGGGCTTAAAGAGGTTTCTAAACAGTTAAAATGCCTCACATTCAACACAGATAAAACTAGAAAATTCATTTTGATCCTTTATGTTTTTTCAAAGATGCTAAGATTTTACTTTAAATGGAGAAAAAGACCTCATAATTGAAGGGATGTTTCTGGATTATCAGGAAGTAGGTCTTTTAATTATTAGACTCATGGGCCTCTGTCCATTGTCATTGGCTGAGACGGTCTATGTCCACAGTAGGTGGGATTAAATTAGGGAGACAGCTCAGAGAAGCAACAGCATGTGGTAACTGTTGTGGATAATAACACTTAAATATCTGCTAATAGCCATTAAAAACATCCATCTGTAAATGTCACAAAATCAGATTTTGAGACTTATTTCCATTGTTATCATATGTTATCATTAAAACGTGAAGCAAAGGAATTTACCTCACATCACCCTAAAGATATTTTACTTGCTTGAGAAGAAAACTCAAAATCGGATCAAGTGAGATCAGATGCAACATTTTTTCCAGTCCAAAATAGATCTTGAACTGCCACAGCCGGTGTGAGCAGGATTGAAGAGGGATCATTCTTAGAGGAGCGACTGGGATAGTCTTTGGTATCTAGCTGTGCAATAACCAGAGTCTAATATGAACCAGAGGACTATGGTATTCAAACACTGGTCACATGATTGTACACATGCATATCACTTTGCCGCTGTCGTGAAAGAAGATGATTACTGTGATAGTAGAAGTCCGCAGTCAAACTGAAGGATAATTTCCTGACCCCTTGAAACCTGTTGACAATCCTACAAATCTACACGTGTCAGTGAGGAACTAACTATATTCTTTTTCCTCTTCCCTGAAAAAGATGCAGATATATCACTCTTCTCAGACAACACTTGAGGAACCCAAAAAAATAAAAAATAAAGGAAGAAAACAGAAGCAAGCATAAAACAAGTTCTACAAGTAAATACAGGAGGAGAGAGATAGCAAGCCCATCCCAGTTCTGTTTGTCCCCAAAACCACCAGCAGTGTGTCAGTACATTTACGCAGTTTCAGTTCAGGTTCCAATTCCATCACAGGGTTGGGGGCGTCAAGTCTTGGTGGCTTTGCAGCCATATGAGGTATGTAGTGTAACTCTCCTTTTGAGAGAGTCTGATGAGGTATTCTTGAAACAGTCATGTAGACTTGTGCATTCTTCAGGTATGAATCCTTTTTTTTTTTTTCTTTCTTTAAATTAACAGTGATTCCTTGCAGTTAGGGTCACATTGTTTCCTGAGAGAGGGATGCCCTCCAGAGCAGAGAGGCTGGTGTGAGGTCTGAGAACAGTGCGTGGATGCCGCCGCCGTCAGACTAACATTCAGCTCTGTGGCTGGAGGGAGGATGCACAAACAAAATGAGGGAAAACAAACTCAAACCTGACTCTGTAGCAGCAGCTAAGAATGCCTCGGTACTACCACTCTGTAACATAGATAGGAGCCGGGTGGAGAAATGAGCTCAGGGTCTGCTAGGCTCGTTGTAGTTAAATACGAGTTGCTGCCCCCCCCCCCAACTTTGTGCGCTATTTATTTAAAGACAGCATGTGCGGACCTGCGAGAGGGTGAAATTTAGGTTTGTACTTCCAGCCTTTCTATAATGGACTGAGGGCGGATTTATGAAATGAGGTATTTAATGTGCTGATCTACAGCATCTGATCATTCACCAGTTTGAGTTCAGCGAGGGGCTACAGCATGTTAAAGAAACCTGAGCAGCCCAGGTTGGAGGCCTGTCACTGTGAGGTGGGTGCTCTGTACGCGAGGTTCCACTGGTGAGTTACTCGACTTCCCCTGATTGCAACTAGGTCAAAAAGAATACAAAAATAAAGTTGATTCAGGTTAAATATACTACAGCTCCTGAGGTAAAGACACCACTGCAGGTTACTTGATTTGAGGTATGTAAAAAGAGAAAAACTAAAAACACAAAAAATCATTCTAAAACACAAAATCAAAAAGACAACAAAATGGCAACAAACAAACAAAAGTCCTAAGATAAAACTTTTCAAGTTCAGTTGTGACTACACCTGTCAGTGGGTTTTGGCTGAGCTGATTGTGTTTAGCATGTACATTAGAATTAACAAGTGTGTGTCTGTGTATGCATGATTGTGTGTGTTTGTCGTGTAGTGAGTGTGTGTGTGTGTGTGTGTGTGTGTGTGTGTTGAATAAAATGCATAGCTGTGCGTTTGGGCACGTGATGTCATACAATATTCTCAGGCTCTGTGTTCATGATTGGACAGCCAAGAGGTTGACAGGGTTGATGAGGTATTTGTTGTGCAACAGTTTGTTATTCTTATCGGTTTCTCATTGTACTGTATATTCATGCGGGGTCTCCCGGTGGAAGAGAGGCCTGGGGAGGAGGTACAAAGGGCAGCTTGAGTTAGGGTGACCCACTGGGGGTTGGCTCAGCCGAACCAGGACCCTTTGAGGAGGAGGAGGACGTGGGGCTGAGGGTCTGAGCCGGGGGTACAGAAAAGCCAAAGCTAGTGCTGGTTCCAGCGGGGGAAGCTGAAGCAGCGGCAGCCGACACAGCAGGCCCCGGGGCCCCACCAGACTTGTGGGCAAACAGGGTTCCTGTAGGAAAACAGGAGATATCATTACATAAAGATCAACACAGTGCTTTGACCATTACAACTGCGAACATTACATTTTAGGTGCTGAAAATGAACTGAAAAAACAGTTCACAGATGATGCAGGTCATAAATCCTAATAAGAATTTACCACATTAACACTTGATAAAACCCACTCCATACACACCTGAGTAGATTGTGCCATTAACCTCTACTGAGACAGTGATGCTGGCATTTCCATTAGTTGAGATGCTCAGAGACATGTCCTGCTGCTTCTCATCTGAAGAGACAGAAATGACAGAGCGCTGATGATTTTTTGTGTATTCACATGACATATTTAAAAAAATCTCAACATTAATACATTTAAATGTGTTTATCTGCTGAGTTTAGGAATACTACTGAGATGAACTAAATACTTTCAAGGGGTAGATTTAGACAGATTTGTTTGTTTTAATGTTGACATTAACATTTTCTTGTTGATCAGAGTCACTGTCAGTTACAGTTTTTTTCTAGGATTATTAAATATCTACTGGATGTTACTGTGACAGACAGCTGCAATGTTCACTCAGTTTTCTGGAAAAACGCAACTGAACATCAGAAGTGCCTTGTTGTTTAGTAATCTGAATGTTGTTTCACAACTGCCAGGTTTATTAAAGAGTATCTTGACAAATTTGGCAGCACTGACCTCTGGTGGTGATGGCGGGGGCTCCCAGGCGCAGATTCATAGGCATTTGAGAAGCCATAGCCAGCAGGTTGTGCTGGAAAGCCTGCTGCATCAGGCGCTGCTGCTCTTCTGCCAGGCGGGCCATCTTCCTCTCCGGCCCCTCTCCTCCGCCTGTCTCCAGCTTTTCCCTCAGCTGCTCCAGCGTGGCGGCTCTTGCCAAACCGGCAACCTGCTGATGACCCAGAGCCAGGGCCATGGAGGGTCTTGCTGCCATGATGGAGGGGGTCAGGTCATCTGGAAGAGAGAGATGGAGGGTTCATTTTATGAATGGATCCATTAGTCCATCTGCATAGACTGAAAATGTAAATTAGGGATCTACAGAGTGAATTTGAATGGTTGTCTATGTGTCAGCTCGGTGATAGCGTTGCACCCAGCTATCACCTATCTTCATACCGCTGATAGATCTGTGACCTGACCTGGGCATACCCTCTCGCCCATTATGAGCCAGGAAAGCCTAGACAACACTGAAAAGGATAAGAGGGTATAGAATAGGTTTGCCGTCCAACAGGTTAATCAAACGCTAATCAATGAAAAGAGTCCTAGTCAATAAAGTTTTAATTGGTTAGTTGGTCTATGGAAAAAAAAAGGCACAGAAAATTAGAGTCTTGTTCAGTGCCATGTGGTATGGCGATGGACAGAAGTAGTTTGTGGATGTGAAGGTAACAAGAAAGAAAATGCAATTCTATTTTTTCTTTTATTATTTCTTTATTTCATTATTAGCAGCTTTCACTACTTTTGTAGATCTATATCTGAACTTCTGCTCTGCTTTGATCCTGTTCTTACTTTCATCTACTACATTTTAGCTTCACCGTTTAGGGAGCCACAGCCACCTCAGGCCTCCCCTGGCTCCGCCACTGTTCTCTGCATTTATTAAAATTACTCTTTTCTTTACTCAGTAAATGGAAGGTAAAATTCCCCACACAAGTCAAACTGTGGATATTGTCGGGGTCCAGGGCAGAGTCACATTCCAGCCAAGTCAAAGTGACATCAGATAAGACAGCAGTGTAATGACAGTTATCAACAGGATCCTACTGATGTGGACTGAAGGCTTCAAAGTTCATAAAAGGCCCCCCCGGCGCGGGAACCATGTTATTAATCAGTAGTAAAGGTGAGGGCTCTAAGCAGCCTGGGGCGAGACTGGTTCACACACGGTCTCTTAAACACCTGGATGGACTACACACACATATGCAGGCATGCACACTCGCACTCACAAAGTCAAATAAAAACACTAAAAACACACACACACACTGACAGTGAGATATTGTGGAGGGACGGAAGGTGAACGTAATGCACAAATCCAACAGCACACTCTCATACCAACATTCCTGCATGCACACTCATACCAGTAAACTTGCATGTATGCACAGTCACACACGTGTCAAAACAGGAGTAAGGTGCTCTGATGAAAACAGTTTTTGGTCTACTGTCAAGGCCAGTATATAATGTCTTTCAAATGCTGTTGATACTAAAAAAAAAGCCTCCTTCAATAATGTAAACCATAACCTGATCTATAAGTACTGTGATACAGTCATGTGTTTATCCACAGCTGTGACTAGATGTAGCTTTTCTAAATAACGACAGAGGGCAGTATTTCTCTATAAATAATCACATATGCACATCTGTGCCCAGAACGCCCCAGTCTATACCAACCACTATAAGGAGGTTACAGTGTTTAAGGTAAACATTTGCCCAGTTTAATATAACCTTCATCCACCCAGAGAAAGGCTTCTGAGCATTTTGCTTGTTCCCACCAGTAACACTCTTCTTCACCCGTCAAAGTCCCCTCTAAGAGCGGCCTGTTTGCTTACACTTGCAGGCAGGTCTGTTTTAGAACGTTAACCCCACTTATCGTAAACTTATTTTCCACACACTTTTATTTATGAATAAACAAAGGTTACCACATGCCAAAATTAACCTGCACAGCTTGTAGATGCCTACCTTTCTTCAGAGAGGGTCCTGGTGAGGCCTGCAGACCATTGAGGGCCCCCGAGGTCCCAGCCCCCAGAGCTGAAAGATGCATCTTGGGAGGTGAGAGGATGTGTGGGGCTGTGCTGGGAGAAGGAGAGAAGCGGAAGAGGCTGCTGCTGTAGCTTGGACGACGACCCTCGCGTCGGTTACTGTCGATGGCAGCCTGGAGCTCACCTGGAGAGCTGAGGCCTTTCCTCTCGCACTCATATGGGTAAAGGTATTTCATGTACCTGAAGAGCAAAGCACACATACCCAAGGCAATACATCAGATCACCACAGAAACATCCACATGGCTGGTGGAGGCATTATCATTACAAATCCGGTTCAAATGACTACAACAAGCAACCACAACCACTTGTATCTAAATCAATTTTAAAATGAGAACTTTAACATACAGCACTACATACTATAAGTAGATTATACTGGCTTGGTTTAAATCCAAGTTTCTTCCTCTGCCTTAAAAAAGTTTTTTCCTACAGAGCAGTTACTACATTTAGATGCCCATAAGGAATTTTATAAGATAGTAGTGATAAAGTAGCTGCTGGTTGTTTAAATTTGGCCAATACACACAAACTAATTTGTGTAGTTTGGAAAGCTACAATATCTATACCTTATTTCAGTTTCAGTACTTTTAGTCAGTGTTTGGATTTACTTTGCATAGTCATCTGGCCAGACAGGAAACATTATTTTTAATTAACATTTCTGACAGAAATGTACATGTGTTATGTTGACTGTGTTTCTCTAATCCCCTACACTGATTATAGAGACCGGGTCTCTACAAAATCAGGTTACTCCAGAAAGCTATTTCCAGACATTTAACAAGACAACTGGTATGAAAATTGTGCAAAACATGTTTTGCATGCTGACTATACTTGGATGACATCATTGCAGCTCTACAAGTATGCACAGTCACACCTCTGGTATGTTTTCTATCCTATCAGAACATACGGTAAAATGAACATCCAGTATTATGCACGCTGACTGCATAATGGTGGAACAGTAACACAGAGGATCAATAAGAAGCTAAGAGCAGCAGCGTCCATTAGATAGAGCTTGCAAAGCAACGCCAAACAACAGCCCACCGACATTAAAAATACATAAAGGTTCATTAGGGCATCCTACTAGTGGACAGAATAGAGAGGTGCTACATCTACTGAAGGGTTTCCATCAAGAGAGCGAGCAGGTTTTAGTCAAGGCTCGGCGTATAAGCTGTCAGTCAAACCCCACCTTAGTCACTGTGAACTCTGACCCAAATCACATCAATAAATCTATGGGAATCAATGGGCTCTATGTGTGATGTAATGGATGGAGGGATTGAATAGGAAGAGGGAAGGTGGCTTGGTGGAGGAAACAAACTGGCATGTGTATAAACACACAGGCACGGTTAATATTGACAACCGTACTGATACCAACCCCAACACACACACACACACACACACACACACACACACACACACACACACAGAAATCCACATGCTCTAACCCCACACACACATACCCGTGGCATGAGGGAGGTGCTTGTTTCCAGTTGAGAAGTCACACACTTGAGTCTTTTTTTAGTTCAAGTGAATCAAATTATAGTTTATATAAGATTAACATTAGAAAGACTGGGTATCTGGGTGTATCCAGTCAATTTATAGCTACTACAGCCAATGAAATGCATTTTGTTGGTTGTTTTGTGACACAGAGACACAAAGACTTACTGTGTGCGCAGGGTGAAAGCTGCACTGGTGATAGAAGTAGGCAGGTTGAGTCCCTTTGTGATTTCTCTCCAGATCTTCTTGTTGATGACCTCAACCAGACCTCCCTTCTCTGTCACCAGCTTGTACAGCATGTACAGATCCAGGACTTGCTTGGCCATGATGGGGATACGATTGACAGGGGTTCCTGTGGAGGAGAGGGAAAAATCATAAAATCAATCAGTACAGTATAAATCATACATCTGAACTGTAATAGCTTACTGACGCACAACAGATGCTTTATGGTGGATGACTTTATTCCAAGACGCATTCGTGCATGCATTTTTAACATGGTCAGTCTCAACAGGAATGGAAACCATAATGCTGACAATTTCTCTCATGTGCATCCCTGGAGATCAGCCTGTGCATATTCTCATTTGTCCAGGTCATGGTATCCTAAAGGAGTTTTAAATCAAAACGCAACTGGACTTGATTATTTGTCTGGGAAGACGTTTCACCTCTCATCCAAGAGGCTTCATCAGTTCATGTACGCATCTGACCAGGCTGGGACTGATCTATCCAGCCTGGTCAGATGCGTACACGAACTGATGAAGCCTCTTGGATGAGAGGTGAAACGTCTTCCCAGACAAATAATCAAGTCCAGTTGCGTTTTGATTTAAAACTCCTTTAGGATCCCTGGAGATACAAATTGGCACCTGACACAGAAAATACATTTAAAGCTGCTACAGTGAAAAGGACAAAGTGAGATTAATTTTTCACTACCCATTAATTCATCCACCAATCAAGGCTGAAACACCCAGGATCATTTTGTGATCTCTAGATACTGATCTAAGTGCTGTCAGGATGCTTGTTAGTCAAGGGTGGCGGGCCTGTTGCCTGGATGCCTGTTAAATTTGGCTTGAAAACATATTAGCCCAGTTAAGGCAATCTGGCTTGACCTGGAAAAGGGGATTCGCAAACAACACAAAGCAAAGCGGCTCTAGACTTTTGATACAGATGCATTAATCTTGTCAACAGCTTATCTGCAGTGAAGCTTGCAGGGAGCGTGTGTGTGTGTGTGTGTGTGTGTGTGTGTGTGTGTGTGTGTGTGTGTGTGTGTGTGTGTGTGTGTGTGTGTGTGTGTGGGGGCAGCGAGGAGGGAGGAGGAGGGGGTGGTTCAGCGTATGCAACAGAATCAAAAAGTGCAATGTGCAACAGTGTAAGCATGGAGTGGGAGGAGGGGACTGGGGGTTGCGACAACCTGCTAATCCATGGGCAGCGGTGGGTGGGGGGCTCCTGGATAGGCCAGTATAATGAAGCTCATTTAGAGGATTGTACTGAGTAAATCCACACCCCTCTGCTGTTAGTGCTGCCGCGCCCAGCACAGGGGAGTCATACAGATTTGCCCTCACAGTTAATGCCAGCCAATCCTTCAACCCTTCCACAGGCTGCTCTTAACCTGGAATTGGACTCATTAATGACTTTGCAAAATAGCAGTGTGATCAGGCCATGAAGATTAGCCCTGATTCATTTTCTTAAATTAGCAACATGTCTTTAAGCCATGTGCAAGGGGTGAACACATGGACCTGCATAAGTGGGTAGATCAGGAAGGTGTGGCATCACTGTCGGGCACTATGGATCGTTTGGTGCACTACTTAATATTGAATGTAATGTCGGTGGTTTAGGAACTTAACTTTTATCTACTGAAAACCCACTCTGTTTTTCATCTAGAAATACAGCAGACAAAAAGTGGTCCTGTGTTCATACACAATGAGAATGAAAAGAAATGAGTTAGGAATAAAAGCTTACAATCTGTTAATATACATGTCACTATGGAACAGAGGTTCTCTATATAGTGGCTGCGATAGCTGGTGGCCCTGCAATATTAAGCAATCCTTTTTTAGTGCCACAGTTTCTTCATTCTGTATGTTAACCTTGCAGCAATGGGATGTAAGTTAAGAGTTAGGGGTTGAAGATAGACACCTGTTGCAAGGGTCTTTCAAACACAGACCAGCAAAGACTTATAGGCAGCCAGGACAATACAGAAACTGAAATTACATGCAGGAATAAAATATGTACAGTTTAACCAGTTTATTAGGTACATGTGTAAAATCTAATGCAATCTAATACAACATCCTGGTAGTGGTGTAACTAATGAAGCAGTAAAAGTAGAAAGTAGATGTTGCATTAAATTAAAAATGCATATTTGGAGCAAAAATACAACCCTCTAAAAAGACCTGGAAAGCGTCCTCTCACCCTGTAAAATAAACATAACCACAGCACCACAGTATGTGGTTAATATTGTTCAGCTTGTTAAAGCTGCATAAAACACTGTTCTCAGAAATCAGCCATCTTATCTCCAGAGCCAATTAACAATTGGCAAAACAAGTGGGCTGTTGCCAAGATGCTAGCTTCATTAACCAATTATTTGGATTAGGTATGTGCAGAGCGAGAGGTACAATGTTATAGTATTTAATGTAAATATAAAGGTCAGGCCTGTATCATTTAATTATCCAATATGTTAAATTAGCCACAATCCTTCCAAACGCATATCAATTGTTTTTACTTTTAGCAGTAGGTAGTAGCTATTTTCAAATTTGAGTTATTTAATTTTAGAAAGAAATCCTAAACCTGTATTGATACACCTTTTCAAAATCAGTTGCCACCAAGTTAACTGTATATAGATCTTTAAATTAATTACTGGTAATTTAATAGTATAATAGGAAAATAGGCAATTATTTAATACGTTTTTAAAAAGTCCATCCCTTTAGGGTTTTGGTTATCACAGTCCTGTCAGACTGAAAAGAAGATTGCATTGTGACGTGGATAAACCGTTTGTAGATGGCTGACCTTCCACTACATCTCTGGGCAGCAGCAACATTTCCAGAACCGGCGGTGCAGCAGAGCACCAGGAATGCTTTGCTGCCAGCGCCTCGTCAGTTATTTAATGCAACGTTGGACATCAATCCTGCATCAAACAATTAGTACAACTAGAGGGGTCAGAGATCAGCCAGGGGTTATTGATGTGTGAATTAAACTGCAGGTCAGCAGGAAGCCATGTTTTCATACTGGCCTGGCCATGAACAATGAGAGCACAACAAATGAGACACAACAGCACTGGCCCCAAAGTGACAGGCCAGCAGTTAGTTAGGCTTTAATTCATGCCTATGCTTTTATTCACCTCTTTATCAGCATCTCCTGTCAAGTCAACATCAGATTCAACAGATTTACAAGGAGCTATTTTCACAGCACAACATTACAAATTTCAGACAGGAGAGCAGAGAGTGTAGTGTGTATGTGTGTGTTTGAGAGGAAACCAAATTGCTATCTATATCTTTAGTGGACCAGAGGTGGTTTTGAAACCTAAAAAAGCATTAATTACTCAACACATGACATCAACCAGGTTTCAAATTTCAACATGGCTCCACCACATATGAAAGCGCTGGGAAAGCACCTTTCGCTATAATTGACAAAAATCACATTACCAACACTTGGGCAGTTACTGGGGCAGAGAGTTTCCTAATTTGAGCGAATCAATGTGCCGCCTGCCTTTGGTGTCCAACATCTGCTCCGTTTCCAACCCTGGAGACATTTAGCTCTAACAGGCTTAATTAGACCAGTCCCAAACATCTCTTTTGATCATAGCAGCACAACTCCTCTGCCTAACAGTGCCATTTTAAGCACTCTATTCTGCTGTTATTATATTTTTGCTTACTTTTCTTTAGAGAGACAACATGGTCGTCTGTGATATGAGACCTCTTCATGGCGTTAGGTCATGCAGGCCTCAAGTAGGCAACTATTGGGTATTTCATTTCTCTGTAAAGCCGTGATTTGTCCACTCGGCTGCTCTGAGCCAATCTGTAATTGGCTGCAGGCTTCACCTCCCATCATCCTTTGCCCCGGACTGATTTTCCCCCAGGGACAGGGCCATCAGGAGCCTAGTGATTAATGGCACCAGGGGTCAGAGGTCGCTCTGGTGGGAAGTGCCGTGGCTGAGGCCCCCTGAACCACTCCCTAAGTCCTTCCTCCAACTTCCACTGTGAACACAAGAGCCACACGGCTAGCCTTCAAACGGCTAGACTTCAAATGATAAGAGATATAGATACAGAGTCTGACAGAGGAGAAAAAGGGCAATGAGTGTGACTGAAAAAGACAGCTCAAAAAAACTGAAAGACATACTTCCAATCTAACGTTTGACAAATACAAGCCCTCTGGGGATAATAATTTTGGAGAGAATTTGATATTAGAGGATACAGCTGATATTTTCCGTATTTAATCAATTACCTTTATATTTGATAAATTTCATGTCCAAGATGATTTCCCAGAAGGGTAGAAATCATTTACAGCATTTAAACAATGGGAAAATAAATCTCCAGCATGGCACACAGCAGAACGATAACAATACATGTTCATGAAAACAAATATGTAATCAACTAAAAAGCCTTTTATTCATCATTTCAGAGGCTGAAAATATTTATTAGATACTGTCCCCATGAACTGAGCAAATCAGACTGTTACAGATAAAGTGTCTATCTCAATCATAATTTAACATTTCCCAACTTGCATTACAGCCTCATCTTTCTATCTCAAAGCGAGGACAAAAGGGGGAAAAAAATGGGGGAACAAGGTCATTTTATGTGACCCCTGACCTATTTTTAGCAGGAAACAGCTGTTCGCATTAAAGGGTCTCTATAATAAATCAATTGGGTGCCCCTGACGCCAGTAGTGGTAAATTAAATATCGCTGACTTCACATGATGGGCATTTTTTTTAAATAATTAAGTGACAGAGTGACAGCCTTCCAGCGGACAACACACAGGAAATGAATTCTTTACCGAATGAGCATTGGCTGGTGTGAGGTTTCAACCACCATCTACAGTGAAGAAAGACAGGAAAAAGAGGACGGAGAGAAGGAAACGCCACATCATCTCATTGTCTTTTGGTTGCTTTAATTATGGTGATCAATTTGAGGATAATTCAATTGGATTATTCTGATTTTTTGGGCTCAGATTAGTGACATGAATGAGAGAAAAACAGACAGAACAGGGAGGAGAAAAGAAAAGAGAAATAGGCAGAGATAAAAAGAAAAAAAATCTAAAATGTAAGGAAAAAAAGGCATGAAGGGAGAGATACTTTTTGCTGCCTCTAGGAGGGAGGGAAGGAAGGATGGAAAAAAAGGAAGGGGGAGGTGTAGTAGCTAGCCAGCTGG